ACAACAATACTAGCAAGGTATGCTCACCATGGAATGGCCAATCATTCAAAATGAAAAGGCAACATCTTCCTAAGGATAAAGTTGAGAAGGGATAGGAAGGTGGATGCAATGTAAATAGGAATCACAGGGAGGAAGCAGGATAACTGCTCTTACATGGAGGGGATTATAAATGTCGAGATGAAACAAAGTGTATGATTTGTTGAATGTAAAGCTGATGTTCTGGTTTGTAAATCCTTACTCAATTCACAATAAAAGGAAGTATTTTAAATTGGATTTAAACATGTGATAAAGGGTCAAATTGATCAGACTATGACAATTTTAAGTAGTAGCTAAGCACATTCTATACTTAGATTCCATGAAGATATAATTTTAGCTACCCTGTTTCTTGACTGCCTTAATGAAGAATAAAAGTTACCTGAAGTTGGTGAACAAATCCAGCATTAGGATTAATACAAAATCTTCTTTCTTGAACATAAGCAAATGCATCTCTGGAAAGCAAACATTAACAAGATGGCATTACATTTTCATGAATTTCCATTCAATCTAAAATAAGACCTTACTTTAAAAAATGTACCTAATATAGAAAACCATAACTAAATGACTTGTATTACACAAGATAGTGAACTATAGTTAGAAAAAAATCAACAGCATAGTCAAACTGATTATCACAGTTCTTCTCTTTACAAAGCAACACAAAGTTATTATTAATACTTATCTACTTTGTGTTACTTTGAGGCATAAATGAAAAAAGAAAAAAAAACTAGTACAATGAACATTGTTATTATTATTAAGGACATAATATAAAATAAAAAAGAGAACATACAAAAGGTGAAGTCCATCAAAGCATATTAAATCTTTTTCAATTATGTAAACAAAGCATTTGTTGTTTTCAAATATTCCTATAAACATTATTTTTAAGCACATTTTTCATTATAAAAATAAAGCATATAAAAAAAAAACCTAACAAGCATATGAATGTGTTAGTGTAAATCTAATGCTAAACATGGAATCCTGATGTGGTGTCGGGGGGTTGATAAAGCACTGTACTGCAAGGTTGGTTTGAACCACAAGGTCGGCGGTTCAAGTTCACCACCTGAGCCTTGGAAACCTGATACAGGATTGTTACGAGTTAGAACAGACTTGATGGTACTTAACAACAATATTGAACATAGTCCATGTGGAAAAGAGTGATAAGAAATATGGTGTAAGGACTAAGAAGATGATGTCATACAATGTTTCCTTGACCATGCTAAAATTTATCAAGTATCAGAAAACTTTGAGAATTTTTATGATCAGGTTTATAGTTTTAAAAAACATCAGCTCAACTGTATGTAGTATGGAGAATAGAACATACTGGAAATGGAAAGAATAAATGAGACCACTAAAAGCCTATTACTCGATTAGGAGACTAGAAGGGTGATGGAGGAGACAGAAGGCAAGATTTAAAAATATATTTAGGCTATAGAACAGACAGGTTTTGGTAATGTATCATTTGGAATATGATGAAATAAGTGAAGGAGGTATCCATGACTTTTCCAAGATTTCTAATTTGTACAATAAGAAAGTGAAGAAAAGCAATCACTGTATGAAGTCATACCTTTGTTTCCTTTTAGCAAGAACATTTTTAATTTTTAATTTATGGCTTATGTGTAGAAAAGACTACACTGACCTGAATAGAAGCTAAACAAAGGTTATCACAGGAAAACATAAGTTTTTAAGCTATGAAAACTACTAACAACATTTGTTCCCCAAAGTTTTTCAACTCAGATACTTCTCTAGTAGTATAGGAGTCCTGATATGGTACTGGAGGTTAATGCACTAGACTGAAAAGTCATTTGAACCACAAGGTCAGTGGTTGAAACTCACTAGCCACTGCTTGGACACCCTACACAGGGTCACCATGGATCGGACTCAAGGGCACTTAACAACAAACTAGTGGTAGGTAAGTAATATATCAGTGTTACTTTGGTTTCTTAAAATAACAACAGTTAGCACTAGTCCCATAAAACCAAAAAAATATTAGGCTAAGCAGATCTGAGCTATAACAACCTGTTTAATCAAATATAACTGGATGATATAATCACAAGGAATATTAACTCCAAACGTACAATTCCTCTCTATTAGAAGTGCCATTTTGATGAGAATTTACATCGTAGCTAGGTTTCAGAATACTTTCTTACCTGTACTTCATTCCAAATGTTTCCATTATGTATGCAATAACAAAGGCAGCACTGAAAAGAGAAAGAAACTTTATGAAAATTACACAACTCATTACTAAAATACTAAAAGAAAGATAATCTCTAACTTCATACCTCCTGGAGATCCCTGCATTTCCATGGATGAGAACTTTTCCTGAGAGGCAGGGGACAAAAAAAGTATTCTGATAGAAACCTGATTCAATAGCTAAAATGTATTTCAAACCATACTTCATGCCATAGTTAAAACAACTGTTTTTAAAAATATTTTATATTATACACATACACAGAAGTTGCAATTATATATAACAGCTATTGTTGTCAAGTGCCATCTACTCACAGTGACCTGGTATATGATTGCCAAGAAGTAGCTGGTAGGGTTGAACTTCATCACACCAGGACTTTAAGATGAAAGAGATTTAAAGCTGAAACAATTTGGAGAGTTCCACAGGGATATTTACCAAGCTTATATGAGAGTCCTGGTGTGGCACTGTAGGTTAATGCATTAGAGCACAAGGTCAGCCTAAATAGCAAGGGTGGCGGTTCAAACCTATCAGCCACTTCCTCGGAAACCCTATATAGGGTCACTGAGTTAAAACCGACTTGACAGCACTTAACAATATCATCTAAATGCAGTTAACTGTAAAAATTAAAATTTGGTATACTCGATTATATGTAGTCCAGATGTGATGCTATAGGATAAGCACTGCAATATTAACCACAAGGTCATCAGTTCAAACCCACTAGTCACTCCTTGGAAACCCTATATACAAAGTTGCTGAGTCAGAACCAACTTGTAAGCACATAGCAACAACTACCATATACAATCACAACTTTAAGACTATACTTAAAAAAAAAAAACCTACCAAATAATATTTCTAAATATTATTTTTAAAATATTAAAATTTAAAGACTATTAAAAAATTTTTAATTAAAAATTTTTTAAAGACTAAAAAAAAACCTAACAAATAATATTCCCTAAAATTAAATATTAACTAAGTAAAGGATATATCATTTACCTCCAGTTTGTAAGCTTCCATCAATAAACTCTTTAGTCTGAAGGCAAAATAAGTTACAATACAACATATGAGTCAAACAGAACCATAGAATACACTTATTAAGTGAAACAAATATGCTGAAAATAAGAAAAATTTCTGTTAATTTACAGGAATAAAAATTATGTTAATTCAAGAACTTCCAAAATGCTACAAAAATCTAACTGTAACAAGTAAAAAAAAAAAAAAAAAATTTTGCAAAGCTAAAAAAATTTTTTTAACTATTTTATTGTGAATTATGTGACAGTTTACATGGGAGAACATTAGTTTTACAGTCATCCTATTGTGTATATCATTGTGTATATCATTTCACTGCCATGGTTACAATCCCCTCCATGCATCATCAACCAACCAAAAGGTATACCCTGCAAGCCTGCCCCACCCCCCACCGTTCATTAGCACACAGCCCCTCTCCCTTTCTGTGTCTAAAGTCCCCAGCTGACAAAGCTAATATTTAATTCGAATACAAAATGTGATTTCACACATTTTAGAGATCATTAAAAGTCTATGTAAAAATCTTCTTTAAAAATTTACCCTACAATTTAATCATAGGAAACAAAAGGTAGTACAAGAAAGAACTATGTTTCACTAGCATTAAGCTTTAGAACTACAATTAGAATACCAAATCATATATACATTTTAAATATTAAAATACAGATACCTACCATTGGGAAAAAACGTATTATATTTTCAACTGGATTATCTGCAATGTCCAAGACTAAATACCTGAAAACAGATTATTCTGTGGTAAGAATAATTTCAAACAACACTCATATGTACATATTAAAAAGTTAACTTTGAAAACCACTTGGCAGTCATGAAAACAGAAAAATTATAAGCAATAATCCTTCCTCTAGATCAGAGTGGACCCAGAAAATAAAAGATGCTTTTCTAGGTGGTCCTAGGACCACTCATCCTCATAATCCTACAGAGGACAACTGAGATGAAGGCTGAAGCTTTGAAAGAAAAGGAGTTCATAAAATAAAAGGCAGAGGTCTGAAGGTCCTTTGTTTGCTAAGGAACCACCTGTCCGGGAATTTTATACTTTGGAAAACATTTAAAGGAAGGCATTATTACTGTGATACATATTTTATGAAAACCTTCCATTTCTAACCTTCCTAGAACCACTAATTTATTAACTAATAAAGACATTAATTACTAAGGTTAATATTCCTTTAAAGATTACAGTTCTTTAATGATCATTTAGACAGCAACCAGTAACTTCAATAAATTCAGAGGTATTCCATGAAAGTTAAATCTCAGGATCCAAGGAAAATACAACAGAAAAACTACAAGGACAGACAATGACTCTATCCTGAAGTATTTGGGTAGACCTAGATGATATACAGAAGACAAAAAAAATCCAGAGTAAAACTGAAACATTTTAATGCATACCATTTTGAATGTCATGAAATACTAGAAATACCAGCAATACGTAGAATAGTATACTAAGTCTAAAAAGAAAGAGTCCCTCCACTATGATAGAGCCTGCACCAGAATAATAACCAAAAATTATATTACTTTACAAAGTGTAAGTGAATAGGATTGCTCTTAAAAAGACATTTCCATTTTCATTTTCTTTAGTAAGTAACTTTAAACAGAGAGAGCAAAGAAAGATTTTTATATATATGAGAATATAGACATTACTGCTCAGAAAAAGTGTCAAGCTTTTAGACTGTTAAGAAATTTTCTAAGCAAGTTTACGTATGTGTATATATAAATTGCTTTGCATAAATGCATATATAATTTAATACATTGAAAGCATACACCTGGTTCTGCACCTTGCTTTTTCATGTAATAAATCTCAGTGACTTTTTCATATCAATGTACATAAACATACTTCATTCATTTTCATAATTCTATACCATTCTGTTGCACATTAATACAATATATTTTAGGCTGCTTTCATTTTAACAAACAGTTTAAGATACAGCATTATTTTTAAGATACAGCATTATTTTTAAATATATATGTTCTTATACACAGTATCTGTAGAATGATAGCCAAGGAAAATAGTAGCTGCCTCCCAGGAGGAAAGCTGGATGACTGGCTTTCAAGAGACTTACTTTCATTTGTAAAATATTCTTTATTTTAAATAACTAATGAAAAGTTAAAGAACATTAACCACCTTTAGAGATACAACCTCACTCACTACAAGATAAATAAAAAAACAAATTAAAATACATGAGACACCATTTTTACTCCAACAAACTGGGGAAAATGTAAGCTGCTTTATAATTCTATCCTGGTGAAATTCCAAGCATAGAGTCAATTTTATACACCTGTAGTGGGAATGTAGTATAGTACAACTCTCTGGACAACAATGTATAACATCTATTAGCTTGTATAGGAAACACATAAACAGGGACAGAAAATGATTATCTATGTAATTAATGTTTTTATATATCATGTCCTTAATTCTTACCTAAATAACTGTTGAAAGTTTGGTTTAATAAAGTTTGCTTCAATATTTTGTCTTATGCATATTATGTGGGTTATTCCATGTTTCTGTAGTATAGGTAGCTATTAAAAAAAAGAGAGAGATGAAACAGGTAAAGAAAAACATATATAACTATAACATATCAAACAATTCAACGTTTTCTTGTAATACAATGACTTTTCTCTGCTTCTTGGGAGCATTCCAGCATCCTTAGTAGTACTTTATGAAAGTCCTGTGGGGTGATTAAAGGTTTATATCAAAACCCTGTACAGGGTCACTATGGGTCGGAACCGACTCGACGGCACTTAACAACAACAAAAGCATTGCACTAACACAGAAAAATATGTGAAATATCACATTTACTGAAACAGACTTGCAATTAACTGGAGAGGCAAAGTGCTCATATAGAGAGAGATTGTTACTGTCACATAGCATTAAAAAAAAAACTTCATATAAATGGACCCATGCAGTTTAAACTACTGTGTTGTTCAAGCGTCTACTATGCATCTCAGAAAGCTAAAAAGAACATAGTTTACATCTTTTACAGGCAGATGTGATCTTAAACACAATTTACTTGGGAAACAGTACTATATAGAGGTTAAAAACCTGGCCTTTGGAGTCATGAGCACCTACACTTTAAATTATACCTCTACCAATGGCCCAGTTTCTTTGTATGTAAATGGTGAAAATATTACCCATTTACTGAATGATTGTGAAAATTATAGACAAAGTGTTTGTTTAGCACAGTGCCTGGCACATTGCAACTGTTTACTAAATGGTAGCTATTTTCACAATCTTTAACCAACATTCACTATTCTATATTTTAAGCAATTTAACTTGTCAATTCTAGAAATTACCAAACAATTTTTATTTGCCAGTGATTATAGGTTTCAATAAATTTATAGATTCATGTTATGTCATAGACTAACATGCAAATTCCATGAGAGCAAGCATTTTTGTTTGTTCACTACCCCATATTTACTATGTGTAGCAGTGCCTGGAGGAGCGTGGTGGCTCCATACGATAAGCACTAGACTACAAACCACAAAGTCTACAGTTCAAATCCACCAGATGCTCAGCAAGAGAAAAGTTGAAGCTTTCAGCTCCCACCAAGATTTAGTCTCAGAAACCCTATGCAGGGTCACTATGTGTTAGAACCAACTCGACCACACTTAACAAATGTAACTCCATACTCTAATAACCCTACAATGAAATCGAGGGAAAATTTGTAAACAAATACTTATACTGTAACATGAAGAACACTATAATAGGCATATTTATAAAGTGCAGTGCTTACCCTCTCCCTAATACTTTGGGGGAAAAAAAAGCCTTGTCCAAAAGTTGATTCTGACTCATAAGTAGCCCTATAAGACAGCAAAACTGACCAAAGAGTTTCTAAGGCTATAATCTTTAAGGAAGCAAACTGCCAAATGCCCCTACTATTCTTCTACCACAGGGGAGCCAGCTGGTTCAAACTGCCTACCTTTCCGTTATGAGCAGCCAACCATTTAATCAATGCACCATCAAGGCTCTTTCCCTAATTCATTACAACCTAATAATGGTCATCAAAATGACCACCACTCCTCTTTGCTATGCCTCGTCAAAAACAAAGCATCTGATTTCAAAAGGAGTGACTGAAACTCACGAAAACTTCTAATCACCTAAAACTTAAAATATTAAATCACAAAATGAAGGTTTAAAACTATAGTCAACTGTGGGTAGGTATGATACCATACAACTATAAGACCAAAACCAAATCCATGGCTATTTGGTCAATTCTGATTCTTAGTGATCATATACAACAGAGTAAAACTGCTCCATAGGGTTTCTGATATTGTGAATCTATAAAAGCAGACTGCCTTATCTAAATCCTACAAAGGAGCTGGGGGGTATGAATTGCTGACCTTGCAGTAAGTAGCTCAAAGCCTAGCCCACTGCTCCACCAGGGATCCTTGGTAAAACTAAAGCAGCCCATTAATTCAATTGATTCCATAAGACCTCTACGAGGGGGTTTCATAAAATTTGTGGAAAAAATCCACTTTATTTCAGTTCCATTTTCCCACCAACTTTTGAAACTCCCTTGTATATGGTGCAATGCTTTCTAACTGGGAGCACTCAGACCTCTAAAGTCTGCAAAAACATAAATGAAATTTGAGTCACTTTAAGTAAAACACAACACTCTTACTCTTAATAAGGAATGACTAAATTTATTAAATTTAAAGACTAAAATATTAAATAATTTCCTTATTTTGGACTTTAGTTGCATCTCATATCGTTCAGAAACTAGAAAGTCAGCAATTACAAGCAATTACAGATGTTTACTATTTCAGAGGACAAATACATTATTAAATAATGGCCAGTTGCTCCATCATTCTTTCAAAAATGGATTTCAAAAGAAAAATCAAAATAACTCATTTGTAATTTGTGGTGAAATTCTTGAGAACCACTGACCAAGTAAAATTGGGAAACAGATAAGAGTGACAATGAATGTTAATGTAAAATATCTGAGACTTTGCACTAATATTAAACTATTACTACCTTTAACATTCCAGAAAAGTTTGTTAATGAAGTCTTCGATTGAACCTAATGTCCATACCTTGCTTTTCATAGCAGAAGAATATGGGCCTAAAAACAATCCAGGTAAAATTTCCTACGGAAAAAAAAGAGAAATTTACTATCAAAAATTAAATCTACACACTACATATGATAAAACTGGATCTGTGTGATATTTTCAGTTTAAATAAAAATAATAATAATAATAAAAAAACTTAAAAGCTTATTATTCAGATGGCATTTCCTAGACGTAGAACAAATGATTGAGAAGGAAAGTGTACATGTGTTTCATAATATCAAATGAGACATTCAAAATTTAATATAGTTCTGAAAAGTCACATGCTTTGTATAAGCAGTTTGGGTAGAATCAGGACTTGTAGCAGCCATCCCTCAGAAACCCTAGACAGGTCGCTATGAACCAACTTGATGACATTTAACAACAGCAACACTATGTTGCCTTCTCTAAGATTAATAAAATCCCAAACCAAACCCACTGCCATGCCACTGAGTCAACAGTGACTCACAGCAACCATGTATGTACCAGTACGACTGCCCCACAGGACTCAAAAAGCTATTCTCTTTATGGAAGTAGATGGCCACCATCTTTCTCCCACAGAGCAAATGGAGAATTTGAACTGTCTTTTGGTTAGCAGCCAAGTGCTTTAGCCACTGTACCACCAGGACTCATAAATTAATAAAATCTCTTTTAAATTTCATTGTATTATGTATGCTATAGTTCAGAAATAAAACAGGCATAAAGAAAATCAACTCCTTAGAATTACACAAAACCAAATCAAAAGAGCTTAAGATACAAAAGGATCAAAATTATTTATAAAAGAAATACTATTAATCACAAATTAAAAAAAAATTCAATACCAAATTTTGCCTTCTGATAGCTTCAACAAACTATTACCTATCCAATGCCAACCTCAAGTTCAATATAGAAAGCTTTTGATCGGGATGTATCATTTGTTGTTGTTAGGGTCGCTGAGTCGATTCTGACTCATAGTGACCTATAATAGTTTTCCAAGGAACGACTGGTGAGTTTAAATCACCAACCTGGTGGCTAGCAGTCCAGTACTTATACTACAACATCACACCACGATTCCGGGATATATTATTTTTATTGCTGTCGTTAAGTGCCATCGAGTTGTTTCCGACTCATAGCAACCCTGTATGGGGTTTCCAAGGAGCAGCTGGTGGGTTTAAACTGTCAAACTTGTGGTTCACAGTCTAATACTGATCCTACAGTGCTACTATAGGAGTTTAGATTTTAATATACCCTAGTATATATGGAGTTCTGGTGAGACACTATAGGATAAGCATTGGATCATAAAGTGGATTGAACCAAAAGGTAGGCAGTTCAAATCCACTGCTGCTCCTCAGAAACCCTATACAGGGTTACTGAGTGGAAATGGACTTAACAACAAAGGATACTAATGAAGTATGATCTTATAGTTTAGTTCTATAAAATCATTACTGTTGAGTTTATTCTGACTCAGTTTCCCATGGTTGAATTTTCTGAAGTAGATTGCAACTCTGGGTAGAATCAAATGTCAACTTTTAGGTTAACTGTGGAGAATGTTAACCATTTGCACTTCCCAAGGACATAAGACATAATTACTTGTGAATAGGTATGGTTTCTACCAGTTTCTTTTGGGAATGTTTGACTTATCTTTCCCATTCTCCATAGCACCAAAAAAATGGGAGACATTGTATGATTCTGGGGCTAGCAGAGTTGACTATAAATAGTATGAAATGAAAAGAAAATTATGCTACTATCAGGATTAGCTATCATTTTAATTATTTCCAAACTGGACTTAATTATGGAAATTGACTAGAAATCATTATCAGAAAGATTGACTTACTTTATACAGAAAAGCAAACCGCACCTAGGCTAATGTTGCACTTACACTTTCTAAGGAAAAGGCAACATTTTCTAAAAATTTTTTTTAATATTTCAATTACACACAAAACTATATTAGCCTCTTGAATATAACTCACATCCTATGTAGCTGTAAAACATTTTTATTGTTATTATATAGCTTCAACACAGGAAATATGCATCAGGTTTAACATTTTTGAGCTCAAATCCCAACAATGTAAACAAATCTGGTGATTTAAATGAAACCTGTAGATCTAAAATTAACCAAACAAAGTACAAATCAGTATCATTATTGTTGTTCGTTGCCATCAAGTCAGCTCCAGTTCATAGCAACTTTATGAATAGCAAAATGAAATGCTGTCGGGCCCTATGATGTCTTATCGTAAGATAATCAACATTAACACTCACAATATTTATTCTAAATATTTGTAAAAAGCACACCTTTTTTCTCATTCATTCTATCTGATTAGTTGAACTGTGTTTATTAGGTAATTTTTTACTCCCTGAAACAAAAATTGAACTGGAAACTATTATCCTCTTGGCATAAAAATGGTATATCATCACTTTCTTTAAAACATAGCATTTTGACATGACATGACTCTTCTATATGGGGAGTCCTGGTGTGGCACTGTGGGATAATGCACTGAACTGCAAGGTCAGTTTGAACCACAAGGTCAGTGGTTCATATTCACCAGCCACTCCTTGGAAACCCTAAACAGAGTCACTATGAGTCAAAACTGACTCAACAGCACTAATAACAACTTCTATGTGGATCCCTAGTGGTGCAGTGGTTAAAGCTCTTGGCTGCCAACCAAAAGGTCAACAGCTTGAACCCACTAGCCACTCAGAGGGAGAAAACATGTAGCAAGTCTGCTTCTGTCAAGCTTTGCAGCCTTGGGAACCCTATGGGCACTTCTGTTCTGTCCTGTGGGTCATTATGAACCAGACCCAATCCACAGCAGTGGGGTGTTTTGTTTCTTCCATAGCAAAAGTATTTTTCTTAATTTGTTTCTATTACTGAATAGAATACTGGGGCTAAACTGAAAATTCACAGGAGCTCTGGTAACACAGTGGTTACGAATCAGGCTGCTAATCTCATGGTCAGCAGTTCGAAACTACCAGCAGTTCTACGGAAGAAAGATGAGGCTTTCTGCTCCCATAAAGATTTACAGCCTCGGAAACCCTAGACAAGGTCACCACTATGAGTCGGAACCAACTCCACAACACATCAGCACCACCACTAAACTAAAAATTTAATTTTTAATACCTTTTACTCCCTTTCCTCTGTATTTCTTTCTCTTCCTGTATCTTTTACACTTTGCTGGCACTTTCTTGCCTGACTCTCCTTTTGCTGTACTTTTTGCTGTATCCTGATTTGGCTTTCTGTATTCAGACTGATAATTCCTGGGAGCATAATGGTTACAGACTAAAGACTTCAAGCCTGATCCCAGGATCTACTCAGCTCTGTTTTCAAACCTTCTGGAGTCCTGTCTGTTCTAATACTTGCCATTGCCCTGGGCTGCAAACTTATACTGACTTTCTAGCCTCACTCCTTGCTTGTTCCTCCATCCAAGAGCTCCTTCCTTGTTCTTGGCCCTCTCCTCTTTAATTATTCATTCACTTGTGTCAAAATCATGAGACTAATAATGTTTCCAAAGCAAGAACTTTGTCTGATGCATGCTGAATCTCCAGTTTCTGGAAGTGTGCCTTTCAAACAGCAGATGCTTGAAGATAATGACTTGGCTTGGACTGAAAATAACTTGTCATACCTGCATCTCTCGCCTCATAGGATAGGTCCACTCCTTAAAAAATAGAAAAAGAAAAAACACAGGGATAAAAGTAAACGTCATACAAATGTCACTAATTAAAAGTTACATATGTGACATACAAGTATGTGAATTTTTTAAAATATTGTATTTTAAGAATGTTCTATAAAGATAATAGATACAATTGGCTTCACAAATACCTGAAAATTTAAGTGTCAAGAAACAAAAATTAGACACCTAAAGCACTATGTGGAGAAAAACTGGGCAAGAAGTGACTTCTGTGATCAATGAGCAATCACTGCAATGGATGAAAGACAAAAGAATGGTATGTGACAGGTACCTGCCATTTCTGATGTAAACTGCCAAATATTTATCAAAGTCTTTCCCATGTCTTTGGGTTTAAAATTCTGTTTAGTTCAATTCACTGCACAGATATATTTCTCAAAAGCATAGAATGCAGACCAATGTTAAACAGTTGGAAAATAATGCAAAATGTCAATGACAAAAGACAGAAAATATTTAAAAGGTTCAGGAGGAAAAAAAAGTTACAGTAAACTGATGTGAAAATTCAAATATAAAACAGATAGTTCTCATTTGTAAAAAGACTGCATTCACAAAATTTCTAAATTTATTGCTAAAACTCGGAATAATAAATAGTAGTAATAATAACAAATAATAAGCTTTTTTGTTTTTAATCTTAGAAACTGATCCCAGCAATGGAGTAGAAAACCAGTTGCCAAGAGTCCATCTCAACTCAAGGCAATCCCATGTGTGCTAACAGTAGAACTGTGAACGCTAGGATATTCAATGGCTCATTTTTTTTAGAAATAGATCTTTCTTCTGAGGTGTCTCGGGGTGGACTAAAACCTCCAGCCATTTTTCATTAACTAATTACAACCCAGGAATTCCCACTGTAGAAATGTATTATAAACCCTGAGAAACCCCCTCTATAACGATAGTTTTAAAATGTTTATAATACTCTCTTTAAGTACACAGCTGAACTAACAACAAGAAAGTACATCACAGAAAGGCTATTAAGGACCAAAACAAAGACTGTCTTGAAAGCATCTGCTACAATCTCATGGCCTTAGATTTCTTTCTGTTCTTTTTAAATTGAGGTATAAAATAATGTACTGAGATGTTAAGATGCCCAAATCTGCATGTAAAAGGCAATGAATTTTTACAAATATGTACATCCATATAATCACTATGCACATTTTCATCATCCCAGAAAGTTTCCTCATGTTTCTTACCACTCTCCAGAGGTGACTACCACTGATTAATTTGGCCTATTCTTGAGCTTTCTTCAGTCAACCTAGTATTTGTGAGATTCATTCATGTTGTGTCAATGGCTGTTTCTTTTTATTACTGTCATAGTACAGGCAGTCCTCGTATTACAAATGAGAGCCATTTCTAAGCGTCTTTAAGTCAGATATGTAGGTGAGTCAGAACAGGTGCATCTGGTTTTTTAAGTTTCCATAAATATTACAGCCTTGGAAACTCTATGGGGCAATTTTACTGTATCCTATAGAGTCACTAAGAGTCCGAATGGACTCAACTGGCAGCGGGTTACTTAGTTCAAGAAAAGACTAAAAGCCTTTTCTATGATTTAAGAGGTATAAAGGCAGCAAGCAAAGGTGATTGTGAAGGATTTGCTGTTATCAATTCGAAGATAACAGTAAATTTACTTAACATTAAGAGCAAGTACTGAGTTCTCCATAAGTTGGACACAACCTGGGAAATGTCCATCCATTATCTTTGCATTTTTGAAGCCCCCTCATATATGATTTTCTGAATATTCTGTAACTTACTCATTGCAGAATAAATGTCCATTAGCAAAATGGTCAGTTCGTTCCAACTGTTCCACACACTTACCATGGCCTTCTTTTAAATGGCACTGGCCAAGTAAGACATAAAACAAAGCCTAAGGCCTGCTCAAAGTGGACAGTCAGATTACGAACAACAACACAAAAAAAACTGGTACCCTAAAAGGCAGCACCCTCACTGTAGGACAAACTAGACAAGAAAATAATTGACATCTCAAACGTACAGACCTGAGTACTCTTTCCTTTTTCAGCTGTGGCTCTGGTTAGAAAATAATGGTAATGGTTGGGGTAGGGTATTTGTTGTAGTTATCTAATATTGTTGCTATGACAAGATACCACGAGTTCCTGGCTTTAACTAGCAGAAATTTACTCTCTCACAATGTAGGAGGCTAGAAGTCCAAATTCAGGATGCCAGATCTAGAGGAAGGCTTTTTCTGTCTCCTGGGTCTGATTGGGGGAAGGTCCTTATGTCCCTTAAACATCTATAGATATGGAATCTCCGTATCTCTTAGTAATAATATTTCCCCAGGTCTAGAAGGGTCTCAAGTCAAGGATCCCGAGCCCAAAGGATACACTCTGCTCCCAGCTCTTCTGTCTTGGTGACACTGAGGTCCCTCTTCTGCTTGCTTCTCTTTTCTTTTATATCTCGTAAGATAAAATGTGATGCAGACTATACCCCATGAAAAATCTCCATTATATAGGATCAGAGTGTGACCTATCTAACACATACCCTAATCTTGTCTAAGTTACCACAGAGATCAGGATTTAGAATAAGTCGCAAAATGGAAAATAATGACACAATACTGGGACTCATGGTCTAGCCAAATTGTCATACTTTGGGGGGACACAAGTTGACTAATGACAAGGAATAAGCTTAGAATTAAATTTACAACATTACATATAATTTACTAGCGTTGCATTACTATGTTAACTTGTTATTGTTGTTGTTATGTGTCGTGGAGTTGGTTCTGACCCATAGCGACCCCGTACAAGGTTTCCGAGATTGTAAATCTTTATGGGAGCAGAAAGCCTCATCTTTCTCCCGCAGAACAGCTGGTAGTTTCAAAAAGCTGACCTTGAGGTTCATAGACCGATTCGTAACCACTATGCTACCAGAGCTCCTTAAGGTATCAATTCTGTTTCTATTTGCCATTCTTTCCTTAATTTTCTAGGTAATTCAAAGTGAGTTGTCATATTCTCAACTATTCTTTTTCTAACTTTAGGGGAAGATTTTCTCTTCATTGGGTATTGAGGAAGACCGTTCTCTCTTGATCTGGGCTTCCTGGTGATCTTCACATGACATGGCATCTATCTGATATGGTGCTGTGGGTTAATGCCCTTTACTGCAAAGTCAGTTTGGACCACAGGCTCCATAGTTCAAGCTCACCAGTTGCTCCTTGGAAACCCTAAAGAGGGTCACTATGACTCGACATCACTTAACAATTCGATTTTTCATATCTCAAAAAAAATATGTACCTCTTGACTCACACCCGATAGTAATACTCATTAATATAACAAAGAAGACCCATTCCCAAATGGAATTAAAACCAGGTCTTTTCCCACACAGAGCCACTGAGTGGATTCCAGCAACCAACTGAGAACTTAACCACTGTGCCACCAGATCATCTCTGTTCAGAATCAGGGGTTAGGAGATTGATAACATATTTTCTGGGGGACACAATTCAATCTATTAATAGTATCCGTAACATTGTACATAGTGTTTATGAGATAAACACATAATTGTATAATTTCTGTAATTTGGAGATTCATGTCAGTACAGTAAAGTCTGTGGCTTTTATTTTTCTTTCATTTTTTAAGATTCTCAAGTAGTCTAATACAGCCAGTCCTACCTCCCTAAAACAGCTTATCAATGCTGTGAGAATCCAATCATCCTTACTCCAAATAAAACTGTCAACCCCAAATGCAGAACTCAATAGAATTTATATTCAAATATACATCAAAACGTCTCTTAGAAAAAAGACCTTAACTAATTTTTTTCAATTACTTCGGAGTACCCCCTTGTCCTGTTGCTACTTTTGTTGTTGTCAAGTGCTGGCAATTCGGTTCCGGCTCATGGCGAGCCTATATAGGGTTTCCCAAAAGCAGCTGGTGAGTCTTGAACTGCCGACCTTGTGGTTCACTGCCAGTGCTGATCATACAGCGCCACACTAGGAGAGCTAATCCTTAGCCTTCAGAAAGTTCAAATTTGGTTGCCTACCATACTTTAAACAGGTAGCATAGTGAATTGCGAGCTTGGCTGCTAACAACAAGGTCAGCAGTTCGAATCTACCGGTCGCTCAGTGGGAGAAAGATGAGGTTTTCTGCTCCCAAGATTTACAGCCTTGAAAACCCTATACAGGGTCACTATGTGTTGGAACGGACTCCACAACACACCACCGCCACCACAATACTTTAAAGTATTTTAAACTAGCAATAGCTAGGGGAAGTGAGAAATCCCAATGACATTATTAGGCAGCGAAGGTAAAGTGCAGTCAAAACAATTATACTGAATTATACTTCAAGGAGACGGAGGTATTTCTCTCAATCTTAACTTCTCTGGTCACAGCAAGATTTCTGATGAAAGTCTGCAGACTCAAAAGGAAGCTACCTTTGTGACATTTCATTCGGCTGCTCCAGGTCTTACTTCGAAAAAAAACAAAAAACCACACACACCACAAAACTTGGGGGAAGTTTTAGCAAGCACATTTAGAAAGTTCAGGTTCCGGGTCTACTCCACACGTGAGGTCACACTGTGTCCCACAAGCGGATCGCTGACACCAGTGAAGTTAAAGATAAAAAGAACCTGACCCTCGCGTTTCCTAGGCAGTAAGGGGTTACTTCCCTCCAACGCGCCCTCGACCTCCAGCCAAGGGGCGCTTCCAAGCGATCGCCCCACCATCACCACCACCAAATCGGGGAGAGCGGCCAGCGCAGCCCGGCGCGGGGGTCTCGGGGAGGAAGACGAACTCCGGCGGCCGGGGTCGGGGGGCTCCGCCCAGGTGTCCCGGGACGCCCTCCGGCGGCAGCGAGGCCCCGTCCAAGCTGGAGACTTGGACGGTTGGGGCCTGGGTCGTCCCTCGAACGAGGAGCCACAACGGGAGGCCTGTGCGTGGCAGTCGGCGGGCGTTGACTCACCTCGGCGTCTTCTTTGCACTGTGGGAGCGAAGGAAATTCCAACTTCACGTCCTCCATGGTGCCGACCCGCAGGCCGGTGGGTGGGGTGAGAGGGCGAGTTGCCCGGCCGACTTGACCCTCGAGCTGGCAGTGGCGGCGAAAGGAGAGCCGCTGGACCGGAGGGCTGGAGCGTGAACGGCAGGCTTACAACTAACACTCACAGACTAAAGGCTCCCGGCGACTTCGGCGGCGGCGGCGACGACAACCAGGATGAGGACCGTAAGGCGGCTCGTACCCGGCCGCCATGCTTCTGCTTCTCCCTTCCCCAGTGTCTCCGCGCCCTCAAGCCGCCCAGGCTCAGGCACAAGCACGAGCCTTACAACCGTTTCCCCTCCTTCCTCCCGCCTCCTCAAGCCGCCTCAGCCAATCCCAATTCACGCTCGCCCTCGGCCCGGCCCCCGCCGCCACCAGGTGTCAGCGCGCTGCCGACCGCCCATTCGCACGAACGCAGCCGCTGTGGGGCGGGGCCTTGCGGCACTAAGCGAAACTCGCCTCGGGTATAGGAGGCGGGGTTGAGGAAGGGGGGAGGGAAAGAAGGTTGGAACTTGAAAGGCCTTGTGTCAGTCAGATTGTTTATCTGGAATAGTATGTTGTTTCAAGCGTAGTGGTTACGAGGAGGGCTGCTAACCTGAAGGTCACCAGTTCGAAACTACCAGCCATGCTGCGAAAGAAAGATGAGGCTTTCTGCTCCCGTAAAGACTTTCACGGCCTCGGAAACCCTATTCAGGGTCGTTATGAGTCGGAACTGATTCCACAACCACCAACCACCACTACCAAGATCTATATGTAGGGGAGCGTGGTGGCTCTGTACAATAAGCACTGCACTGTGAACCACAAAGTGGACAGTTGGAGCCCACCAGCAGTTCCCAGGAGAAAGATGAGGCTTTCTGCTCCCAACATTTACAGCTTTGGAAACCCTATGCAGGGTAACTATGAATGTCCACTGACTCCACAGCATTTACCAACAACAGAGGGGATCAAATTGACATCTCCAGATACTACATAGAGGTCTTTTGGGGCAGAGTTTATGCTAATGAAGGAGGGAAAACTCAGAAAATGAGAGTGAAAATGGTTGCACAACTCTAAAAGTATAGTCAATGCCACTTAGTTATATATATACCAGCTGTGGGAATAGGTTTTCTGTGTGTTTTGTTTAGTTTTTACTCTTTATTGTGAATTGGGTGAAAGTTTAAAAAACACATCAGTTTTACAGTCAGCAAATTATACACTTCGTTTCATCTCAATGATTGCAATCGCATCAACATTACGTCAGTATCCCATTTCCTCAGAGTTTCTTGTCTCCATGCCTCCTTCCCCAAGCTTTCTGAACACTGTCCTTGGATAAATGCTGCCCTTTTGATCTTGAATACTTGACCATTCTATGGTGTACATACCTCACTAGTGTTATCCTCCCTCCCCCTACCTATTGCTTGACTGAAAATTGAATTATGAGGTGAATGCAGTTCCAGACCTGAGGGTATCCCTGCATGTATGCTTAGCAACAAAAATAAAATAATTTACACAAAAAGAATATATGGGAATCGATGCCACTTAATAACAACAACAATGGCAACTCAGGTTAAATTACCTAGAAAGCAGGGCAAACAGGAAAAGCCATAAGAAACAGAAATAAAGTTAATTGATAACACACTCTCAGAAAATTGTACGGAATACTGAACGATGTGGTATCAGGATCAGAGGAAGACTTATTAAAAACCTGAGATAGGCAGATGACACAACCTTGCTTGCTGAAAGTGAAGATCAAAGAAAATACAGGCTTAGTGTGCACTTCTGGTATAGTGCTGTAGGATAAACACAGGACTACTAACTGCAAGGTTCTTTTGGGAGTTCAAACCCACCAGCCACTCCTCTGAAACTCTATACAAGGTTGCTGTTAGTGGTAACCAACAACAATGCCCCAACATAAAACAAAAATCTTCACAACTGGATCTCTAAGTAACATCATGATAATGGAGAAAATATTGAAGTTGTCAAGGATTTCATTCTACTTGGATCTACAATCAATGCCCATGGAGACAGCAGTCAAGAAATCAAACAAGGTATTGCACTGGGCAAATTTTCTGCAAAAGATCTCTTTAACGTGTTAATAAGCAAAGATGTCGCTTTGAAGACTAAATAAAGTGCCTGATCCAAGGCATGGTATTTTCAATTGCCTCATATGCATGTGAAACCTAGACAGTGAATAAGGAAGACCAAAGACGAATTGATGTCTTTGAATTAGGGTGTTGGAAAATATTGAATGGACCATGAATTGCTAGAAGAACAAACAACAATTGAAAGTATGAAAGTATAGCCAGAAAGCTCCATTGAAGCAAAGATGGTGAGATTTGGTCTCACATACTTTGGACATGTTTTCAGGAAGGACCTGCATGGAGAAGGACATCGTGCTTGGTAAAGCAGAGTGTCAGTGAAAAAGAGGAAGACCCTCAAAAAGATGGACTGATTCCATAGCTGCAACCAAGGGCTCAAACATAGTAATGAATGAGAGAATGCAGGACTGGGCATTGTTTCATATGCATGGTTACTAATGGACTCAGCTGCAGTGTTTAAAGTCTAAGACCCCAACCTGTTTTACTGAACTTGTTTTGCAGGAATGTAGAACTGCTGGTCCCACTGATAAGCGACTCTTTAAGCTGTTTCACTGAACTTGTTTTTCAGGATCACAGAACAGCCAGTTCCACTAATAAGTGACTCCCTACACTCTGCCCAGCTGCCAAAGACGACCTCTCAGAGGCTGAGCAATGAACAATATCTTTATTCACCTCCTAATATCCTGTGATGCTCACCCAGATGGTTGTTGTTGTTGTTAGGTGCCATCGAGTTGGTACCAACTCACAGCAACCCTATGCACAACAGAATGAAACACTGCCTAGTCCTGAGCCAAGCTCACAATTGTTGCCATGCTTGGGCCCATCAGTGCTGCCATTTTGTCAATCCATATCACTGAGGGTCTTCCTCTTTTTCTCTGACACTCCACCTTACCAAACATGATATCCTTCTCCAGTAACTGGTCCCTCCTGACAATATGTCCAAAATATGAGAGACGAAATTTGACCATCCTGGCCTCCAAGGAGCACTGTGGCTGCACTTCTTCCAACACGGATCTGTTGGTTCTTTTGGCAGCCCATGGCACTTTGAATATTCTCCTCCAACCCATAACTCAAATGCATCAATTCTTCTACGGTCTTCCTTGTTTACTGTCTAACTTTCACATGCATATGAGGTTATTGAAAAAACCATAGCTTGGGTCAGGGGTACCTTAGTCCTCAAGCTGACCCAGATGGACAATATCTGAAATCATCTCTCAATATCCTGTTATACTAGCCCGGAGGGGACCATCACTTATACTGTAAACTGGCTTCCCATTCCACCTCTCCGCAACCACCCTTTGCCTTCCCTCCTAAAAACCCAATAAAAACCTCAAACACCCAACCCTTAGGCCTGGCACTACTATCTGGTGTTAAACCTCCTTCCTCCCTTGGAAACTGGTTACAGCTTTCTAATTTGTACCTCCATACTTGTGAATTCTTTCACAACCCTTGACTCTGGCCCAACCTAACAGTTACCAACTAGACTGTACCTAACAACAACTGAAGAAAGGTTTCTCCCTTTCTTTAAGTTTATTAATTGTCATGGATCAAATTGTTCTTGTTGTTTAGTGCCATTGAGTTGGTTCCAACACATAGTGACCCTGTATAGGATTTCCAAGAAGTGGCTAGTGAGTTTGAACTGCTGATCTTGCAGTTTAAACTGACCTTGCGGTCCAAACCAACCTTGCAGTCAAGTGCTTATACTATAGTACCACATCAAGATCAAACTGTGTACCCCCAAAATGTGTGCCAACTTGATTGGGTCATGATTCCCAGTATTGTGATTATCCTTCACTTTGTGATATGTTCTAAATCCAAACCTCTGCCTGTTGTTCTTTAGGTTATGTTAAAAAGAATTAAGTTGTGTTTCTTATGGTAAAGTTAGGGTGGAATGCATTGTCCATCACCACCTTACTTAAATCATCACCCTGCTCTAGTGAAAGAAGAGTTTTCCTGGGCTATGACCAGAAGAGTTGTGGGATGACATCAAGAACATCATACATGAAGAAAGCAAAAAGTCATTAAGAAGACAACAAAGAAGGAAAAGATCAAAATGGATGTCAGAAGAAACCCTGAAACTTGCTCTCCAGCGTAGAGATGCTAAAGCAAATGGAAGAAATGAGGAGATACAAGAGCTGAACAGAAAACTTCAAAGATCAGCTCAAGAAGACAAAGTCAAATTTTACAACAAAATGTGCAAAGATCTGGAGTCAGAAAACCAAAAGGGAAGAACACGCTCAGCATTTCTCAAGCTGGGGGACCTGAAGAAAAAATTCAAGCCTCGACTTTTGTTGTTGAAGGATTCTCTGGGCAAATTATTGAATGATGCAGAAAGCATCAAAAGAAGATGGAAGGAATACACAGAGTCACTGTACCAAAAGGAAATGGTTGATGTTCAACCATTTCAAGAGGTAACATATGATTAAGAACCAATGATACTGAAGGAAGAAGTCCAAGGAGCATTGAAGGAATTGGCAAAGAACAAGGCACCAGGAATTGATGGAATAAAAATTGAAATCTTTCAAGAAAGTGAGGCGGCACAGAAGGCACTCACTCATCTATGCCAAGATATTTAGAAGGCAACTATTTGGCCAACTGATTGGAAGAGATCCTTATTTGTGCCCATTCCAAAGAGAGGTGACCCAATGGAATGCGGAAATCATTGGATCATATCTTTGATATCCCATGCGAGTGAAGTTTTACTAAAGGTAATACAGAAACGGCTGCAAGCATACATTGACAGAGAATTTCCAGAGGTTCTAGCCGGATTCAGAAGAGGCCATGGAATAAGGGATATCATTGCTGATGTACAATGGATCTTGGCTGAAAGCAGAGAATATCAGAAAGTTGTTTACCTGTGCTTTACTGACTATACAAAGGCTTTCGAATGTGTGGATCATGACAAGC